CAAAACCAAACTCTTCCTTCAGTATCTTTACAAGCTGAATCAAACAAAAGCAGTGAAGTTACACAAACAATAAATTCCAAGTGCCATCTTTAATATTATAAACATATTAAAAAATATTCGAAAGATACAGAGACTAGAAAATAAGCGTAGCATCAGAATATAGCAAACACTGGATGGGATTTCTTATTAGTAGATGTCTGTTTGTTATTAGCAGACCTAGGTTGTCAGTAACATGTCAACTTCTTCTTGCCCTACAGCTTAGATGTCTATGCTTAAGTATTTGGCTTGAAAGAGGAGAAGGTAGTACAAACATAAGCTTCCCTGGCTCCAAGACCAACAGAGTGATCTTCCCACACCACTCCATTCTTTGCGCACTTCACACATTAGCTGGGTTCATTTAAATAACACCTGAATTGTAAAAAACCCTTAAACAAACAAAAACAACAAATAAACAACAAGACAGTAAAGAAACACACCCACCCCAGCCCAACCAAAAACCCTTAAATAAAAAAAGGAAGGAAGCTCAAATCTTTTCCAGTGCATCTACTGGCAGTGCCCTGTGGGGCCTGACAAGGGGGAAGACATATATTTGAAATGTCATAGTCCAGCCAACTTTCTTCACTAACCTCGGTTACGTACAGTCAAAGCAATAATCACAAGGAGTAGCTTCAATGCACTTTGAGGCCAATCAAGTGTTAGGCTGGAGACTTTCTTCCCTGCTCCTCAATCTCTAGGGACAAGCTAAGATGAACCTACACTGCACCCCAACTTCTAGCAACCTTGCCTGCTGGCTTCATACTAGTTAGGTTGCTAATACCGGTTCCCCCTCACTGTCCAAGTGTTCTTGGAACAGAGATCGCATTTTCAATTACCTACTTACTGCACAATAATACATACATACATAGAGGTTTGTAATGGAGGGCTCAGCTTGAGGATGCCTGAAATCCTGGGTTTTCAGACAAAAATGGCTATCCTACAGTTGGAAGTTGTTAAGGGATTTCAGAAACACTTGCATCAGTAATTCAGAGTCCTGTCGCCTTCTCATAACCTACAGATGCAACTTCAGATTACTGCCACTAGACCCAAAGAATTTCAGCTGAGATGCCAGAGAAGGCAGCTCATCTCTAAAGAAGTTCTGGGAGAGAAAAGCTACCAACTGATCTTAGTATAAAAATCCGTACAATCACTGTTAACAATTAACAACCATGATCAGAATAACAATTAATTCTTTAGATAAAACCAGCAAGCACAATTTTATTTATTGTTAAAACAACTTTCTGCCTTATAATATCCCCCTTTTCTTATTTTACTTTTTTTAAATCTGCAGCAGTTGTATATTAAAAATCCACATACCGACAACTCACTTTTCAATATTAACAAGCAAACAGTGTTATTGATGCCAACCACTTTTTCCAAGAGCACCAATTGAAACGATTATGTATAAATATAAAGCGTGCTCAGCCCAGTGAAGCAGAGCAGCAGTAAATAAAGACTATGGTTTATTCATTTGCTTCAAACCTAGAGCAACAGTACTCTGCAAAATTAGCAAGCCTGCAAGCCTGAACTCTTGTTAGCATTTCAACTAGGGAATCTCCTCTCTTCTTCAAAAGAGAAACATCCTTTCCTATAATTCGAAAAAAAGATTTTGTGAGGGAGAACAAGTACCAACATTTCCTACTTTTTTCAGCACAGATGCATTTTCAGATGGTTTACTTATATACATAGCGTGAAATATGTATTCCCACATAAGCAGGAGAAAAATAGAGGTAGCTGTATATACCTTTCAACATTTAGACAATTCAGTTACGCAACTTCACCGCTGTAGAGCATCTACAGCAACAAAATTGGTTTGAGTGCAAAGTAAAGCAAGTTAAAGCGCAGTTACTGCAAAAAAAGTGCATCTACACATCAGCACACCTTCACATACCATGTATTGTGCAGGACTAAACATTTTATTTGGAAATGCAATAAATTACATTATTTTAAGACATGAAAGAAGTAACTGCATAAAGAAAATTATTTTTTTCCCCAATACATTACTGACAGTACCCGCCAAGGCAGTGCATATGTCAGCATCTCATTACTATGACCTCCTCCTACTCAGTGGGATGCTGAAGAGTTGGTATTTTCTTGTGTCTTTGACATACTTGTTTTGTAACCTAGCCTTCATGAGCATTCGTTAAATTACCACCTAGAGTGATTAATTAAAAGGACCTGCTAGCACCAAGAGCTGCTTAGCAAGACAAATTTTCCTAGACTGCCTTGATAGCCAGATTTTAATCAAACATTGTACCAGGAAGGGTAGATATATAAATGCCAATCACAGTCACAGAATATGCTGAGTTGGAAGGGACCCACAAGAATCATCAAGTCAAACCCTTAGCACTGGATAGGACCATTCTCAACAGTCACACCATATGCTGGAGAGATTCATCCAAGTGCTTCTTGAACTCTGTCAGGCTTGGTGCTGTGACCACTTCCCTGGGGAGCCTGTTCCAGTGCCCAACCACACTCTGGGGGAAGAACCTTTTTCTAATATTCAACCTAAACCTCCACTGACACAACTTCAGGCCATTCCCTCGGGTCCTGTCACTGGTCACCACAGAGAAGAGATCAGTGCCTGACCCTTCTCTTTCCTCTCACAAGGAAGTTTCAGACTGCAATGTGTTTTGTTCACAACATCCAAGCACATGGCTATTTTGGAGCCTTAGATACCTCCAGGTTTGATTCACTGGTGCTGTGCCCTGTATGCGGCTGCAATTTAGCAAATGAGAATTTGGTATAAAAGCCAACAGCACCAAATCAGAACAGCAGAGATTTTGTACTTGCTTTGCAGTGGTTAGAAACAACATGAGTGAACAAAAAAAGACTTTTTGTTTATTCAGTAAAGTTTTACCTTATGTAACACCTAAAAGATCTGAAAATGTTTTTATGAAATTGGATTGAAAAGAAAAAAAAGTCAGACAACACTTGTGTTCGCAGGAATGACTGAGCTTCTCCTCACTTCACACAAATTCTGATACTGGAATTCACTAGTAATTTCAAAAAGATATGGTGCTCCCCTCTTGCTCTATATTGGTGTGTTTATTCACTGCAGAAAAGCAGTCTTAAAGTAGCAGTCAAGCTGGTTCAAAGATTTTTGGCAACACAAATAAAACTCAAGTTTTCCCGCTCTATAGCAAAGCCAATATTGGGTTTCTTAGGGCAGGAAGAAAAAATGCTTGGGCCATTCCAGGGCCAGGCCCATGCTTTTGCTGCTGTTAGGAGGCAAAAGACAACTGATGGGGCACTGCTTTTCCTAAACCTCACCAGGAACTACCACCTCACACAACCCTTTCCACTGGCACAGCAATAGGAACAGTGCCAGCAGCTTCCAGCTAGTCAATGCCTGGGTGATGCCAGTTGTGCTGCATGAAGATAAGGCTGGAGGACATCAGCAGTGGCAAAGGGAACGTCAGCGTCAAGGGGCAGGAGTTCCTGAGACACTGACTGATCCACCAAAACAGTGCCATGTAACCTCACTAATAATTTTTTTTTCCCTCCAGAAGTTTGTGCCTTCTTGACAAATTGAAAGCAATGGAGGCAGAGTTGAAACCTATTACTCACTGATAGAATAGGACCAGCTCACAGAAGAATCACAGCTCAAAATCACTTCTGCACCACCTCAGGTATATGCCACTTCTCCAGATTTTCCTCATGCAGAATCTCAGAAAACAGGAGAGTTTTATTTAGTCACCTGAACTCCTTCACTCTTGTACGTTCAGGCTCATGTTAGTGAGAAAAATTTTAACGGTTTATTAAGTTGTGTTCCTACAACTGCAGTACCAAGAGAACATTGAACAGAGAACGAATATTGCCCATCAAAACATCTATAAATGCTTTCTAATCCCAAAGAGAACTAGCTGTAGGTATATGGACAAAATATAATCAAGTATCTCCTCTACATTTTCTGATATTTAAAAAAGGAAAAAATTATAAAAAGTCATGAAAATATAAAGCATTCGGTATTTGTCCATGTTCACCACCTAACTTATGCTAAAACTGCACTTGTTATCTGGAGACCTATACTGACATTCACAGAACATTTAATCCAGTCAGTATTCCTCTCCAGACTGTGCTCGTAAGCTCTTGGAATCACTGCCTGCTTTGTTTGTGAAGCAGACTTGCTGGGTTCATTCATCTTCCATTATGCCAAATCTTTTGTTTTCCCAGAACAAAATTGGAATTATATAAAAATACAACAGCCCGCATAATCCATCTTGTATTTTTCAGTTGTTTTTCAAAAAGGAAGGGATTTAGAAATGTGGTTTAAAACAGTTTGTTTGAACAGGGCCATCCACAAACATAATCCTGAGATACTCTGCAATTCAGTTACCACTGAAATTAAAATCACAGTTTTATATTCAGTATGGAAAATACTCATCTTTCTGAATACAGAAAGCCTGCTGATTCCACGGAACACATACATTAAATCATTCATGCTGCTGTCTACCCATTTGTTACATTCTCTTATGAGCTGCAGTGGAAAGAACAATGGAAGGAGATATTTACTAAGAAAAAAGAACTAGGGTTGAGCAAAGTAGAAAGAGGACAGGCTGAATGAATGAAATCAGGCCTTTCTTTGCTTGGGGGATAACAAAAAACTTCTTCACTTAGTCACATGCAGTACTGATCCTACCTAGAATGCCTCCCTTTGATGGGCAGCTCACCAACTCATACTCACTCACATGACTCAAAGGCTGAAGAGCTACAGTCTGGCCTCAGCAGACAAAATCACATTCCAAAAACTGCATTTTGGATTGAAAACATCCTCCTATTTATGAGAAAAACATTAAGTTTCTCATGAAAGCGAGTCTGTTTCTAACACACAGAGTTAACCAATTTCTGAAGCATTGCAGTCAGGACAATGTTCCACAAGAGGAGGTAGTGATTTTTAGGAAAGTACCCGCAGATCACGGCTCCAAGGACAGAGGAAGACCAGTAGAACCACACCACTTTACCTTTGTAATTCACTAAGGGCTCTACTTGTGGATGGGCTGGGGTTCAGCCTCAGGAAGTTCTGCTTTAAATTGAGATGAGTGAGGTCTTGGCTATAAAACAGGTTGGCAGGCAGGTGCTCCAGGTTGCAGCATGAAAGATCCACTGAGCTTATGCGTTGTGATGCAACCTAGAAGTCAAGTACAACACCAATATGTTAATACTGTAATGAAACAACATTTCCTTCACCCCTACCAGCACAAGATAAACTGTTCTTAAGCACAGCAGAAGTCAGTGCCAGCATACACAGCTGATTTAACACAGTGCACATAATCGCTGCAAGTTATGCCATGATTGCTTGCTTAGCCTCCGTGCATAAACCAGACTCATAGATGGCTAGCAGGGGGAGAAGCACAAAGCCTTGTCAAACAACAATAAGCAAAATGGATTCATTTTCATCAGTGAAGTCATTCATACTTCACAACCAGGAAAAAAAATTATATTTGACATAAACTTTACTCTAGTCCTTTGCTTAGCATTGCCTCCTCCAAGTGAGTGGAGGTGAGGGGACAGCAGTCATCACCCTGTCTTGGTTTCAAGGGTCAAAAGTGGATATTCAATGGCTGAAGAAAAGTTATCCCATTTACATCTTACTGGAGAGAAAAAAATATCACAGCAGCAGCAAAACACTGAGCACTCTTCTAAATGAATTAGAAGACTTGTCTAAGAGTGATAAAAATGTGACACAAACAGAACTGAGATTTGGAAGTTTAACATTATTTTCTAGAAAGAGGAAGGTAAAACAAACATAGTCTGTAGAGGCTAAAAAAATCATACCACCTAGCACTACATCATTCCAAAAAGACCTACAGGTAACTACTTCAAGTAACAGCAACTGTGGCCCTTAACAAATCTCTAGGATATACGTAGATGAACTACATCCTGCTCCTTTACTTATTTACTAGACTTTATTTAAAAAAAAAAAAAGAAAAATCGCCAAAGCAAAACCAAAACCAACACTGCAATGTAGAATTCTTATATTTTTCTTTCCGATATTATTAAAAATATCCTTTCATAAAGTAGAGTCGCAGAGCTAGCTATATGACAAAGCCCCACCAGACAGTAATGCAAGGAGGATGTTGGGACAGTGCAGGGATGGTGGAGAAGAAGGAGTCAAATGCTAGGAGGAGAGGCATTTTTGGAGCAGGCATGGCTTAACTCAAAGAAGGAGAAGCAAACCACCACCATTTTAGACTTCTGGGACTGTACAAGCAGTGCTCAAATGGTTACATGTTCTGTCAGCTGCTCACTCCAAAAGAAGCGATTGTTTCATTTTGTCATTGGCACTTTTACTGGCCTCTTATGCTGTGATTCTGGATGTACAAACACTACAGCTAAGGGGAAAAAAAAAAAGAGCAAAACCACCCCAAATCTCATAGTCAATGCCAACTGACATAAGAGCTTCTCAACTCTGATGAAGGAGACATCACTCAACCTTCTGGGCAGAGACACAACCCCTGCCACAGAATGCTCTGCAACTAGAGGCATTGAGTTTTGTAGATGTAAGTGAAGAAGCTTGCCACCGAAAGGCAGGCCACCAAAATTTTTTTTTCTTCTCCGATGCAAGGTACACAGGCCTCAGGATAAGTGGCTGCTATTATAAACACACAGCAATAAGCTTCCAGGGGAACAGACGCTGCAGTGTTTTTTTCCAATGCAATCGTTAATAATCCAGTCCTCCCACATCCATTAAAATACTTGAATTTTTGTTACTCAATTAGTTCAGTCCTTTTGTTACTGTAGCTACTATTTTTCTTGCCCTTGTAGTATGAGACAAAAATTATTCATAGGCTATACTGAGCAGTCATTTCTAAACACTAGGTATTCAGTCTGCTGTTCACAGTGCCAGAACCTGCCCAGTATGATACAGTTCTGATCACACTGAAAACAAAAGGGATGAAAAAGTGCTGACACCTGTCAAATTAAAAAAGAATGTTTAATTTCAGGTGTAATGCTTATATACATTATTGCTCCAGCTACATTTTTGGAACAAGTGATATGAACAGGAATAAGCAACCCAGCAGTGCTTAGCAAGGCACGTTACTCTAGAAACATCTAAAGTACCAGAACTGGTAACTCTGAGTGTGAATCACAACAACACAGTCAAACAAAATCAAATATCCAAATTATACTGTTGCCTTAGAAAAGAATGTAAATCCTATCTTAAAATCATCAAACCCTGTGAAATAAATCTAGTTAAAAGTAATTTTGTTTTTTACAGGTTGTATGTTCTGGTTATTTTTGTTTACCTTTTTTTAAGGAACGCTAATACAAAGGATTTAATTAATATTTTCATGCAATTGACAAATACTGAATGATGCCTCTACCAGAGAGATAATTGTGAAAGTTAAAAACGCTTTTTAAAAGGTGTTAGTTCTGGAATCACCTGTAATTTTATCAAAGTCTTCTTGTTATCAAACAGTACTCCAAGAACTAACTTCTGAACTGTTACAAGACAGGCTCCTGTAAACACACAGTTATTCTCACAGGCAGGGATAGACCTTGCTCTTTTTATTGCTCAATACTGCTCTTTAACAAATTCCTGCAGAATAGAACAAGATGAAAAACAAAGAAGAGCAACAAATGAGAACATCATCTTAACAATACTTTCTTTCGTTCACCCATCAGAAACTTTCACTAGCTGAAGTTTAATATTGAAATTCTGAAATTACATTGTTCTCAAACAACAAAGGATTATTTCAATCTTGCAATTGTCTTCAATTGACTTACATGCAGCAAGACTGTGCATGTGTGTGTTTGCTATTGTTTATTAAGAGCAAAGACTTTTTTCTAAAAGGTGGTACAGTTTTTTAATACAGCACTGGGTTTCCCTGACTCACTGGGGAATCACTGCAAAGATAAGCTGATAAAGGGCAGGAAAACACTTAGTAGACTATCCCTCACATTCAAAGAATAAAAAGCTTCTGGAGAAAGAGACATTATCTGCAGGAAGTAGGGTTTTCACTGAAAGAAAACAAACAAACAAACAAACAAACCCAAGACATTCTGCTGTAAATAAATACTCCAACAAGTTATCTGGGCTGGGTTCAAGAGACCTATGCTTCAACAAAAATAGTGAAGAGAGTTGGCGTGGTAGCGCTGCTAGAGGAAGAGGCTTTCCAGAAAGACATGGAGCCTGCATTAAGCACTTGTTATGGTTTTGCTTGGTGTTTTCTGCTGAAGGACTTTTAAGTATAGCTGTTTGATATGCTTTACATACATATAAAATACAAAACCACAAGCAGCACAAGTTCACAACTCCCCAGGCAGAAGAAACCACTGCCCAAACTAAACCCTTCTTATCATATCCTAAACTGCATACAAGCTTAACACTTATTTCACATGAAACCACTGTTGCATTTCTAGTACAACAACATTGAGGAAAAGGCTGGGGCAATGACCTTCTCGAGAATGGTGTAGGACAACCTCTCAGTTACAGCAGCATGAGCCGCAGAGTCAATGCCCATCTTTGCCAGAGAAGCAAGACAGGCAACGGTTTGACAACAGTGTGGCTCAAACAGAAAGCAAGATCTTGTACTTTTTAAAACCCACTTCTCAGCTGGGATGTTTATTCATCAAAAAATATAAAGGCACAATATGAAATACACTGCTTTCTCCATTCCCTGGATATAATTTCTAAGCACTTTGCAGTCAATCACTGTATTGCAATGTCCTCCACTATAATCCCAGAGGGGCAGTAATGGGATAAGGCCACATTCAACTTTGCACATAAAACTGCAAAGTCCGATGCAAAGTGGTTTTTTCCCCCAGTTCCTCTTGCAACCTCTGTAAGGCACCCTGGTCCTACCATGTTATAAGTTATTTTTTTCAGTCTCCATATGAGTATGTCAAACTGAAATGCAGTTTTGAAGAAGTGGCATGCAACTATCGCACATGTACCACAGAGAACCCTGGATCTACCCATTGCAAACACCAAAAAGCTGTCATTGTGCTTTCAATTTTCCCCCAGCAGCAATGAAATATAGCTTTGTTCTGTGAATATCACCACAAATAATGCTGCCGAAGAGCACTCTCCCTCCCTTGGGCAGTATGCCTTCTACTCCTCCCCACCTAAGAGTTGCACATGTGCCAAAGAACTAGGAGTTTCCCAAATATGAAAACTCACTTTTAAACATGTGTTACTTGTGCCACGATAGCACTTACAAGTATAAACAACAATTCAAAAAAACTAGAAGTACCTTAAATAAAAAAGGTTCACCAAGGTGTTTTGATTTCAATTTTTTTAGTTATTATATTTAAAAAGGAAACAGTATTTTCATTTTCAAACAGTATTTCATCACCAAACTTGTGAAAGTATGGTATGAGTTCACTGTAAATCTTTAGCAGCTGGCAACAAAAATATAGAAAAAGACTTGCACCAACCAATATTCTTGCTGCTTCTTGCTACACAGGGCTAAAAAACCACTTTGCTTTGTCCATCAGTATAATGACACCTCTGTCACCAAGTTATGCAACAAGACTGATTATCGTCTTTGTTTCAAAGCCTTGGCTATACTACAAAAATGATCTGTTGCTGACAATGGATGTCAGCAATGGGCACAGCTGAACCCAGCTGTTTGGACAAACACAGGCCTTGTTTACACAAGGACATCTTTTGGTGTGACCTGTGGCGTGAATTTAAACCAACGTAATTATGTCTTTTTCCTGTTTACCATCAACCCACTCCCTATAGCTCTATTCAGATAAGAAATTACTGCTTAGGACTTCAACAGAAGACAAAATAACTGAACAGCCCACACTGTACAGGCAGCCAAATTCCCACTCTGTTTGAACTGAGTTGACAATGTTAAATTATACCTGCTGTAGACATGCTAATGCAAAGGGAGTGTAATCTTTCTCCTTTAGGATTTGTTTCTAAACAGTTTCATAATTATCACATCCCACTAATGCCTGCAAAAGGCTTAACTAACAGTGATACACTGGCTTGAAATACCTAAACTAATTTAGAGCAAACAGGTTCTCCTCACCTCAGAATCAGCCTTGCTTCAAATCTTAATCCTCCTTTATATTCGAACATCAAAGCCCCACTCAGCAGAGAGGCCTCCCTCTGCTGAGCTGAATTCCACAGCCAGGAAACACATTGGTGCCCTCAACCACAGCCAAGAGCTG